TGTTCTTAATTATAAAAAGATAAGCTTTAAAGGGATAGTTTACCCACAAATGAAAATGTACTCACTATATACTTCCACTTAAGTGGTTTCAAACCTTTAGGAGTTTCTTGCTTCTGTTGAAGACAAAGCATAAAGATATTTGGAAATATATTGGAAACATATAACCATTGGTATACATCAGGGGTGTCCACACTTGGTCCTGGAGGGCCAGTGTCCTGAAGAGTAGGGCTGTGCGATTTGGGGAAAATATATTTATCTATATAATTTTGTAGTTGTTATTCAGCTTAATAATCTGTACGTTATGGCAAACATTCTGCAATAGAGCTTAAAAATGACCAAAAATTAAACCAAAATGTTCCCATTTCATCATTTAATGCCTTTGAAGCTGCAGATGCCATTACTTCACTTGTCTTTTTTATTGTGGGCGTTCCCGTAGTTCAGTTGTGCAATTCTGATTGGGTGGAACAAAAGTGTTCTCACTCAACTGGCTTGTAAGACTGTCATATACAGATGACATTTGCTCTGGGTGGGGGATTAAATAATTAAATAATAGACATATACAGTTGAAGTTAGAATTATTAGCCCACTTGAATTATTAGCCCCCTTGTTTATTTTTTCCACAATTTCTGTTTAACCGAAAGAAGATTTTTTCAACACATTTCTAAACATAATAGTTTTATTTAACTCATTTCTAATAACTGATTTATTTTATCTTTATCATGATGACAGTAGATAATATTTTACTAGACACTATTACTTTGCAATTTTTTTAAAACACTTCTATACAGCTTGAAGTGAAATTTGACTTAACTTGGTCAACTAGGTTTACTAGGCAGGTTAGGTTAATTAGGCAAGATATTGTATAACGATGGTTTGTTCTGTAGACTATCAGAAAAAAAAAAGCCTGAAGGGGCTAATAATTTTGTCCATAAAATGATGTTTAAAAAAGTAAAAACTGTTTTTATTCTAGTCTAAATGAAACAAAGAAGGCTTTCTCTAAAAGAAAAAATATCGCCAGACATACTGTGAAAATTTCCTGAATCTGTTAAACATTTTTTGGAACATATTTAAAAAAGAAGAAAAAATGAAAAAGGGGGCTAATAATTCTGACTTCAACTGTATTTCATAACGCAGCCTCTTGCAATTAGCTAATCAAAACTTTTCAAATTGCGATTGCGATTTGATTTTGATTAACAGCTGAACTCGAGAGTTTAGCTCTAACCCTAATCAAACATACCTTAACCAGCTAATCAAGCTCTCAAGCCATGGTCTCACTGGACTTTTCACCCTATAGACGTCCATTCATATGCACGCGAGTGTGTCAGACGAGCAACACAAGCTTGTGCGACAAGTTTAGCAGTTCACTGCCGTGCAAAGTTCAAGCTTGGTGAACTCAAAATTGCATCACGTGAATGCGTGAGACCAATCGAAGATCAAAACATGACCTCTCTTGACAAAAATTTTAAATATGGACCAATAACCCACATTTTAAAATGCCTAATAATTTTGTTTAATCCAACCCCTTTTTGCAGCGCCATATAACAGAATTTCACATGCTCAAACTCTAGTGTGACTGTGGCTTTACTAGATATACTAGAAACTTCCAGGCAGGTGTGTTGAAGCAAGTTGGAGCTATGGAAAGCACTGGTTACAGGTTTCCAATATTTTCAAAATAGCTTTATTTGTGTTCAACAAAAGAAAAAAACTCATAAAGATGTTATACAAGGGTGAGTAAATGATGACAAAATTTACATTTTTGAGTGAACTATTTCTTCATTGCTGAGTCTTGATTACCTTTCCGGTTTCTCTAAAAATAATATCTGAAATTGAGGTAAAGAAAACTGAAAGAAAATGTAGTAATATTCAAATAGAAACATTGTTAGGCTTTTCACAAAAATAATAATGATAATAAAAAAACAGAAGAGTTAATTATTTTGTACAATTAAACCTGTCATTTCATTCATTTGAATTTTGCTATAGCATCACGAGTAGATTACATTTATAGGTTATATTATAATGGTAGTTTTTCCAAACTACCTTAAAACAATTCAATTGCCCCTTCAGACACACGTAGGCCAATGTGGGATTTCTGTTTTGTTGATAAGACATTGCGAACATTCTGCTTGCTTTCTCTGATGCTCATAGTTGGGGACATCATATCTGTTCTAGTCTCCAACAATCAACAGAAAGCTTATATGACTGAACAGCTTGGCCCCAACAGTCTGATTCATTGCAGCGATTCTAGCAAAACCACAGACATGACACACACAGAGCCTTCATCTGTCTGTTGTATGTATGACAGGTACATCACCAGTCTGAACTGACAAGGCTTCCCTCTGCACTGGAGCTCTAATGCATTTCAATAACTCGATTCTTCTGAATCTTTTTACAAAAAAATGCATCTAAAAATCAGTTCCGCCAAAAAATCAGTTGCATCTAAAAATCAGTTGCATCTAAAAATCATAAAGATTTCAGTGTTGTGAGTCATTCAACTCCTTGATTAAATAGTGTTGAGTCATTCAGCCATTTCCTTAGAAACAAGATATTTGTGATCTAAGTTTTTATTAGCCTGTAATTTTTGAACATTTGCATTTAAAATTAACTGTAATGACTCACTGAACTAATTCTAAAAAAACACATCTGCTATCGAATCGAGTCTTTTTTTTATGTTTTTATAAAACATCTAATATTGCAAAGATTGCAGAAAGACTGCTGTGAGTCATTGAAACAATTGTTTAAAACAACACATTTGTGACGAAAATGGTCCTATTAGGTCAGTGTTTCTCAATTCTATTCCTCGCCTGTTATTTGACACACAAGGGTCAGTTCATGGATCTCTTTATTAATGAGTTGATAATCTGAATCTGGTGTGTTAAGGAAAACATATTATGCTGCATCGGAAATCGCCTACTACTCAGTAGGTACTGCATTTGAATTTAAATGTACTACTCGGCTGTTAGTAAAGTGTGTTCCATACCAGGGATCACCAAACTTGTTTCTGGAGGTCCGGTGTCCTGCAGATTTTAGCTCCAACCCTAATCAAACACACCTGAACAAGCTAATCAAGGTCTTACTACTTGAAACACCCATGCAGGTGTGTTGAGGCAAGGTGGAGCTAAACCTTGCAGGGCACCGGACCTCCAGGAACAAGATTGGTGACCCCTGCTCTATATAATATGAATGTGAGCAGTATGAATGGAACTCGGACACACTATATCCACCATTTTTTCTTGATCAAGTGACCTACATGCATGTGTTGCGTCACTTCACTCTCATTCATTACTTCTCACGCAGGGCATCATGGGATAGTGTAGCATATCATTGGATGCACACTTTAGAATGTCGGCGGAAGTAAGTCATCCGGGTACTTCACGCTTACTGTTTTTCGAATTCAACGAATTCAGACATACTACTCTGCTTTCATACAATTTTTAGTGTACTATAAAGTATGGAAGTACACAATTATTGACGCAGCCTCAAATGTGCAGAATTAAAAACAACCGTATGAGGCTTTCATGAAGATTTGCATTTGAACATCTTGTATTCCAGAAAGACATTCAAGACTTTTGCTAGTAAAAGCACATTTGTGACTGAAACGCATCAAATTAGTTCATATCTTATTATAAAACTAATACTAATAAGTTTTCAGAAGGAATGTCGTGACTAATTTTACCTCATTGTTAAACACACATTCACATTAAAATGTGTCTTAATTCTTAATTACCAAAGTAAAATTTAATCATAACACATTATTGGAACATGAATGACACACACACACATTCACACACATACACATGCATGTTTATGAAAGATTTTACACTGAGCCAAAAACAAAACCTTTTGTACAGGTGGCTTGTTTGTTCATTAAATTTAACCAATCATGATCTGTTTCGCAAGCAGTGCTCGGTTGCTATTGGCTGACACATGCTTAGAAACAAACCTAACAAAATGATTCAGTGAATGAATGTGAGGGTAAGCAGGATAAGCCATTGCATGAAAATTTTAGTCGGAATACAGTTAGCTTAATTCTTTAAATTCGTGAATCCTTAGTTTATTTTCTCCTCTATTTTATCTGGCACAAGAGACATTAAACCGCGCGTGCCACCTCAACTTGCTTACTGACTCGTCCCAAAATTACACATCATCATCTTGAAGTGCTGCACCTTTTTTGCAGACAGGAGCTCAGTCAGCTTTTACTGCGGCGGTTTAATAAGGCACACAACAGGTTAGCAGAATAAATTCCGTCTTGCCACGGCTTGCCCTGGCTATATGAACATTAAAAACGTTCATATAGTTCATATAGCCAGAACATTAAAAACGTTTCTACTGAAATATGTAATGCAACACTATTGTTTTCCCGGCTCGCCAATGTTTTGTGTAGCGCGAATGCATAATATGTTATGGCCCGCAGCGGTCGACCTCTTATTCAGCACGAGCAATTCGTTGCTCCCATGGGTTTTGTCCCGCCAATCACCGATGCACTCAGGAAATAATCTGGCAAGATCAAAGTGGAAATGCACGCGCAGTGCAGGCGCGTCCTCGAGGCCAGCTCCCACAGCAGACGGCGAGAGGTTTCCATCGAAATCCCGTTTAATTGAGGCGAAACAAATATATAAGCGATATATAATAAGCGAGTGGCTATGTCGCTGCTCTCGTAATTGATTCCATAATTCACGGTATTCAATGTGATACCGAACAGTGCCGGTTTCCGCTCAGTGAGAGAGTGAGCCACAACCTGCTTATAAATCGTTTAATTAAGCGTCGAATCACAAAGGGTAATGCGGCTGCACTGGAGCTGTTGCACACGTGTCGTCTGACTTAAATGATGCGAGTCATTAATCTCGTGTAAACCGGACGCGTTTTCATCCTGCGTCCAACAGTAAACGATAATAGTATACATTCTGATATGCGTTTAATACAGGATTCCGTTGTGTGGTCAGCACGTAGGCAGGAGTGCATGCCAATGAAAGTCGTATACAGATGCTGCTGAAGATACTCACTCAGTTTAGGGATTCAGGGGGCGCGTCGCCGCGCAGCATCCACCTTGCTGCACTCTCTGCTGCTGCTACTGAAACGTCTGGCTCCCGGTCGGACCCCGCAAGCATAATCAATAACCTGCGTTGAGCCTGGATTCGTATGTTAGGGAGGACATGTGTGCGGTATGGCATCTGGCGTCCTCAGCGCAACCTCTGACCATCCCCATTGTTCCTGTGCATTGCCGCGTCGCGCACAAGGCGAAAGGCGCAAACGCACAGCTGGGTTATTCCAAGTCGAGGATCGGTTATGATATCGACACCACGTCACGACTGCCTCCGTTGAGCCTCAGAGTCTCCTCGAGCCTCAATCTTGTCTCGAGCATCGGCGACAGTACCATATGACAGCGCGGTGCCCACTCCATTGGCATCTGGAGCTCGCGTTTTGCGCCACTGCGCGGCCAATCTGGGCATGACAGCCAGCGGTTGGAAAGTAGCTACAGAAAGCACTGTGGACTGTGGTAGCATAATGAATTTATTAATACGCTATAAAATTCTGCTTTAAAAATACTTTATATTAGCTATTTTGATTTATGGTGTTTATAAATATAATATAAACAATATACACAATAACAATATACAAAGTTTATAAGAGAACATTATATATTTATATAAAATATTAAAGTCATATTTACCTAAAAATTTTATTAATGATAAAGAAAAAGTTTTTAAGCAATATTTAAATAAATTTTAAATAATTTTCAAATAATATTTTAAAGAACCATTTGTCCAATGGGATGGTTCCATAAATGTTAAAGGTTCTTCGTGGAATGACCACTGATGGCACGCTTACTGACGTGATCTGATCACATGAGATCTGCGAGGCTCATTAGCATTTTCAGATGGTTTAAAGGTGAGTTTCTTGTCAACACTTGCATTTTGATTTCTCCTCCTCTCACTTTCGTCAGCCTCTACATCACTTTTGCAAGACTGTTCAGTGTCACACTGGAGTGATATTAAATGACCAACCCCATTCTATGCATCATATTAAGTTAGCTGGAAAGCAAGTGAATGAGCAGGATAGATAGCAACTACGATTTTGATTGTTATCTGTTTTGGTACAATGCAGTGAAGTATATGAACAACTCAGTTATTTAATGCACATTTCTCAACACATCCCATTATGTCAGTAGGAGGAGAGTAGGTGGTCTTTTGTGGTAATTTTAACACTTTGTCATTTTGATGAAGTGGACAAAGCCTTTTTAGGCATGTTTTACAGTTGTATTTAGCATTGTGATTGTAATATTAAGCCTGAACAGAACTACACACATTTTATTTTTTAAATTATGCACTTTGTGATGTCTCACTATTTTGTAGAAACGATTAAGGCAATGTTAGAGAGTGTATTTTGCATGACAGGACCATTTAATCACAAGTAAATTGCTACAGGTATCACACAAACACACAGAATCAAAAGAAGACAAACATTCCAGTATTCCAGGTTCACCAAACAAACACAGCTCTCTATAAAGGTAGTACATTTATTTATCAGCACATACTGAGACGCACAGACCTAAAGCCCTGCGCCCTGCTGTTAATCACCCATCTGTGGGCCTGCGGACCATGCCAGTGAGCACACTGACTGCAGCAGCCGCTGTGTTCAGGTGGGTGATCTGTGCTGAACATGCCTAGGCACTGCAGGGGCTAGTCAAGCAGGGGGCGTCCAAATTATGAAAAATGCAACCTCAGGGCTGACAGCTTAATTGCTGTATAAATATAGAAAAACACAACGCAACGGAGCAGTGCATATGTAAACGCAAATTCTAAGAAAAATCAGTATATAGATAATTGTTTATGGTGTTTGAAATAATATGTTTGCTGGTGTAAAAAGAGTATATATTTTTATGTACACCCAAAAGAAAAAGCTATGGTGTGTGTACAGCTATTAAACAAAAAATAAATGTACAGTTTGTTTAAAAAGCCGTCACCACTGGTCCTAACCATTGTCTCACAGCCAGATAAGGAACGACATGCATGGGTACAACTAATAAATTTGTATTGGTCATGATCTTTTCTAGTAGACGTATCAATCTCCATGCATCAAACTAATTATTGACTCTTCTTTTGACTATGCACATATGATTAAAAATAAGTTTTTCAGACCCAAATGACTTTGTTTCTTTGGTGGAACACAAAAGAGGCATAATTTTAATCGAAATCTAAGTTCTTAACAAGTTCATAATTCAAACAGTTAACCATGAATCATTTTAAACTCTGGGTAAACAGAATCTGTCTCTCTTCCTATTTCAGACTGCTTGTAATTTACCCAGGGTGAACAGTTATGTTTTGATAGATTTTGTTGTTGTTGTTGTTGTTGTTGTTGTTGTTGTTGTTGTTGTTGTTGTTGTTGTTGTTTTGTATGATGAACTATAAAAGTAAGATTCTCTTCTTTACTTGAGTTCATGTGTTATGGCTATTTTTTCTCAAATGCTGAAATGACTGTTCAACAACACCAATGCTGTCCAAATATGAGGCGTGTTGTTGGTTGCTGTCTAGCCATTATGTTTTGCACTATAATGAGATTGTTTATTTGCTTTTCAAAATGTTCTTAATTATAACAAGATAAGCTTTAAAGCAATATTTAACCCAAAAATTAAAATTCACACACTATGTACTCTTCCTCAAGTGGTTTCAGACCTTTATGAAATAATTATTATTCCTTTATTAAAAGGATAATTAAACCGAAAACAAAAATTCTTTCATTATTTACTCACCCTTGAACTTGTTTCAACCTTTATGAGTTTCTTCTTTTGAACCCTAAAGATAATTAAGAACGCTGAAATCCTGTAACATTAACTTCTGTACAAGGAAAAATAAATACTATCAAAGTGAAAGTGAAATGTCCTTTACCCAAGTTTAAATGGTGTTTAGCACAGTGATAACCCAGTTTTGAGTGCTTTGGGGTTAATGCTAAGGAGTCCTGAAGCAGAATGTCCAAGATATTTCGTACAGTCAGTGAAAGTGGTTCGGGACTGGGACTGTGAAGCTCAAAAAAGGCACCACAAGTTATTTCAACCAAAATATGTAAATAAAAAATATGGAATTATGGAGTAAAATATGGACAAAACGTCTTTTTCACCGAATAGGTTTTGAGTGCAAGAACAGCAATTATAGGCTATATGAAACAGATCAACCATGTAATTAACTGCATCTATACCCCATTGTAAACAATATTTATCTTGTTGAAACAATATTTAAAACTTTGTGTTTTTATTAAATCAATCTCTTTGCCAAACAAACTTGCCTTCAGCAAATACTTTAGCTAGTTTAGTGAAGGAAAGAGTACTGACAAATTTACTCAAGTAAAAGTACCCTTACTTTCTCAGAAATGTATTGCATGTAGAGTAAAAGTATCTGTTGTAAATATTACTCAACGTATGAGTAAACAGTAGGCTTTTTAAAAGTATGCAAGAGTAATGAGTAGTATTAATAGTGTAAGGTTGATGTGTTTACATGCGGTTTGTGTGTGTGTGAAAACGTAACATTCTGTTGTGCATATGAATGTTGACTGAATTTAAGTCTTCATAAAATCGACATCCTTCATTTTCTCACCAGTGACATGCAGCCTAAACAGTCTCCGAGTCATTGTGTGTAAAGATTTTGGACATCTTGTACACCTTCCAAACATGAATAAAGTACCTGCAGGTTGAAGGAAAATAGTGGGGTTAAAGTACTGATACAGTATTAAAAATTACTTCAGGCAAAGTAAAAGTACACTTTTTAAAATGTACTTAGTTAATTACAATTCCTGAGTAAAAATTATCAATTACAGTAATTAGGCTGGCTTGTGTAGCAAGCCAGACTACTGTTATCCTATTAAACTTATTATTAGGCTGGCTTGTGTAGCAAGCCAGACTACTGTTATCCTATTAAACTTATTATTATTATTATTAGGCTGGCTTGTGTAGCAAGCCAGACTACTGTTATCCTATTAAACTTATTATTATTTTTCTATATTATTCTTCTTCTGAGACTAAAAATTAAACTCTATCTCCTCCTAGGCCATTCAAGCTATGACCATCAAACTTGGGTCAGACCTCCGAACTATTCTGACTCGAGTTGCTATATCCTTTCCGACTGATCCGACTTTCGGTTTCCCGAAAAACGTCCCGGGACCGTCGGAAAAATCCCATAGACGTAACATTGGATCAAACTTTGTGACCTCATAACTCCGCATCAGAATGTCACACAGACTTCTAACTGGGCTCATTTAACTCAGACTATCAAACTGCCAATGACTGATCACCTTTAAACTTTCTGGCCACGCCCTAGCAACCACTTTTGGACCCTAGAAACCGTCCCATAGACTTCCATTGCAAAAGACTCTCATTGACTTTACATGGGATCAAACTTTGTGAGCTCATAACTCTGCATCAGACTGTCCTACAGACTAATGGCTAGGCTCATTTAACTCAGTCTAGCCAGCAGCCAATCACCGATGGCCTTTTAACTTTCTAGCCACACCCTAACAACCAGATACTGCACCCTAGCAACTGTCCCATAGACTGCAATTAAAGAGGTTCAGACTGATATTGTCATGTTGCAGTGTGATAGAGACATGGGGGTTGTGTTTAACTGTTCATACTGGCAAGAAGCTTTGATACATCATCAGTCTAAGCTGTCAATCAACTCCATAGCAACAAAACAGACTAACCTAGCAACGATATGGCACCAGCTATATCTCAGCATCAGAACATCGTAGAGAGGCGGGGGTTGGCTTGTTTGACTCATGCTCTTACACCATCTATCTATCTATCTATCTATCTATCTATCTATCTATCTATCTATCTATCTACCTTTATCTATCTACCTCTACCTATCTATCTATCTATCTATCTATCTATCTATCTATCTATCTATCTATCTATCTATCTATCTATCTATCTATCTATCTCTACCTATCTATCTATCTATCTATCTACCTTTATCTATCTACCTCTACCTATCTATCTATCTATCTATCTATCTATCTATCTATCTATCTATCTATCTATCTATCTACCTATCTATCTATCTATCTATCTATCTATCTATCTATCTATCTATCTATCTATCTATCTATCTATCTACCTTTATCTATCTACCTCTACCTATCTATCTATCTATCTATCTATCTATCTATCTATCTATCTATCTATCTATCTATCTATCTATCTATCTATCTATCTATCTATCCATCATGCTAACAACATGCTAAATCATGCTAGTTACATGCTAATTCATGCTAGAATCATGCTAGTCACATGCTAATTCATGCTAGAATCATGCTAGTCACATGCTAATTAATGCTAGAATCATGCTAACAACATGCTAATTCATGCTAGAATCATGCTAATTTATGCTAAAATCATGCTAGTAACATGCTAATCCATGCTAGAATCATGATAA